ATAACAGATCATAAATCATATAATGTCAGCATGTCTATTATAACATCAGTATATTTCCGATCCAATCTGAGTATAGAGGTCCTCCCCACTTCAATCTGAGCATAGAGGTCCTCCCCAATACATCCTCCCCACTTCAATCTGAGTATAGAGGTCCTCCCCAATACATCCTCCCCACTTCAATCTGAGTATAGAGGTCCTCCCCACTACAATCTGAGCACAGAGGTCCTCTCCACTACAATCTGAGCAGAGGTCCTCTCCACTACAATCTGAGTATAGAGGTCCTCTCCACTACAATCTGAGTATAGAGGTCCTCTCCACTACAATCTGAGTATAGAGGTCCTCTCCACTACAATCTGAGCATAGGTCCTCTCCACTACAATCTGAGTATAGAGGTCCTCTCCACTACTCTGAGCATAGAGGTCAATCTGAGTATGAGAGAGGTCCTCTCCACTACAATCTGAGCATAGAGGTCTGAGTATAGAGGTCCTCTCCACTACAATCTCTCCACTACAATCTGAGTATAGAGGTCCTCTCCACTACAATCTGAGTATAGGGTCACAATCTGAGGAGGTCCTCTCCACTACAATCTGAGTATAGAGGTCCTCTCCACTACAATCTGAGTATAGAGGTCCTCTCCACTACAATCTGAGTATAGAGGTCCTCTCCACTACAATCTGAGTATAGAGGTCCTCTCCACTACAATCTGAGCAGAGGTCCTCTCCTCTACAATCTGAGCATAGAGGTCCTCTCCACTACAATCTGAGCAGAGGAGGTCCTCCACTACAATCTGAGTATAGAGGTCCCTCCTCCACTCCACTACCTCTCCTCTACAATCTGAGCAGAGGTCCTCTCCACTACAATCTGAGCAGAGGTCCTCTCCTCTACAATTTGAACATAGAGGTCCACTCCACTACAATCTGAGCATAGAGATCCTCTCCAGTCAGCAGATATCACCTTCATTACAAGATGAATGCCACCAATTCTAGCTTCCCAATGCAACAAATACCCCAAACTCCCACCATTAACATAAGAACCGGGTTCCTGGTTGTACTTGCATCATCTTCATGAAAAGAATAGATGTCTTTTGTTTTAATATTCTATTGATACCAGATACCATGTTGGAATGAAATAGTTTGAAAAGGACTAATTTTAAACACCTGCCATATACCAAACAATGCTCTGTAAAATGTAAGAAAAATTTGAATATCCGATCATGTACTACTTCAGAAGAGTATTTTCAGTCAAAATACTACATAATGATACATTTTAAATGTTATTTTATTCTTAAAAGTACTCACATAAGTAAAAAACACAGACTATCTCACATTTTGGCAACTCATGAATTATCCAAAATTTCAAACTGTGGAAATAGTCTTTTAAATTAGTCAATGAATATTACGGTCCTCACCAACATCCCTACTATAACCAGCCACAGAACTTCCTGCGAGCAATGCATTTCCAATATGAGCCCTGCACACATCAGGCAAACTTAAAATCACATTGACCCAAAATATCTTCATATTCAAAATAAACTAATCCAAATATATCCAAACACATGAGAGAGCTCCCTGAGAAAAAACTCAGGTTTCCCGCTTGCAGCTAAACAGATGCACAATATTTCCTGGCCATATTTTGAGAATGTTCTCGCTTCCTTCCTGTAATCAGAAATATTCATAAACAAACCGCCTACCCTCCCTCACCTAAGCTTCACCGATACCCTTTCTGGGTCCCCCCCTCCCCAGTGCCCCCTTCCCTACTTGGATCTTTTAGCTCCTCACACCCCTCCTTTTTCAACCCCCCTTTCCCTCGACCCCCAAACCTCCTTCACCTCATGGGCTTGCCACAGTTGCCACTACACCTGAGCAAAGACAGAAAAAAAAACACACCAGCAAACTGGTGTGATAATCTTGGCTTCTGTTTCTAAATTCACCTGACATCCTCTTGAATTAAAAATTCATTCACTTCCTAAAGTCAGTGAAATATTATTTCAGCTGTTGAGAAGTCCATCATATTCTATACATGTCTACTGCTGACATGTATCAGTGCAACAGGTTACTTGGAACCAGAAATCAGGATTATAATTGAATATTTTCAAACAGCAGACTGAATTACATGGAGACATTCAAAAATTACCAATTGCTTGTCCAATTTGAGGCCATAGAACTATATTTTATGCTAAAATGTGTGGACGTGCAGGAAGCCTTTGCTCCGAATGACACAACAACCTTGTAGTGTATGTGTTGGCAGCAGACGTAAAGGGCGGCCATATTGAATTTTGGCACAGCTTTGATCTTTTGGAGGCAACATGGCCAACAGTGCCCTTGTTACGTAAACAATAACAGGAAGACTTGACAATAGAAGCGGATCAGTCAGATGTAAGGACTTCTTACATGGGCTGAATAACTCAAGAAGGACCCAAGTCCAACAAATTGCTATTCTCACAAAAGCACATACAATATGCTGAAAATGATAGGAACTTTTTCCCTTCTCGGGAGTTGAGCTGTTGCGTTTGATAAAGGAGACGACCACGAAAATAGAGGCTATATGCATTATTGTGGCAATCAAGTGAAATATTTATCCTCAATCACAATGAAAGGGAACATTATCATTCCAAAGCATTTGTCACTTTCCTTCTTGCTGAAACATGAACACACTGAACAAAATCTTATAATATCTTGATTGTTTTTTTTTGTGTTCATTGTTTAAGCCTCTCTCAACAACATTCCAACTATATGACGGGTGTGAGCGGATAATCAAGTCTGGACCAGACAATCCAGTGATTGACATCGTGATCATTGATGTACTCCATTGGGATTCGATGACATACAGCCTGACCACCCAATCTCATTAGCTGCCTCTTACGACAACCATAGGGTGCTGAAAACCAATTCTATGAATATCTTATGAATATCTTAAATCACAATTAATATCAATTAAGATTATTAATAGGCATTCAACAAAAAGAACAGGATTTGGATCTAGGGTTTTCAGAGACAAGCAAAACAGTAGACAAAACCCCTGGCCTGTGTGTGTTTGTGCGTGTGTGCATGCATGCATACATGCGTGCATAAGCAAGGTTGTAAGGCTTAAATGTAAATATTATGTTCAGTTTGTTAAAAACAGCAAGCAAGATTTTAACAGGTTGGACAGAAATTCAAAACTGTGAGGAAGATGTTCCCCTGTTGCCACGAGGCTGAGACAAGGCCAACACTCTTGTCATTCCAGGTTCTGCTTGTTTGACGACAGCTTCAGAGCCTCTGCTGCTTGCGGCCTGGCCAACCAGGCTTAGGGAAGGATTTAGTAACGTGGTTCAAATCTCAATTGAAATTCCCGCTAATACCTACGCTCGATACAGCCCCATTCAGCCTATCTCTCATCCTCCTGCGAACAGTGCAGACATGTGAGATTGGCACGGGAAAGTGTTCGAAACGATCAGCGAGCAAAGATTACCTGACAGGTCAAGAGCAAAGGTCAAAGGTGTGTGTGGGCAGGTATTAGATGGTTTCGCGCCTTCGACCAGTTTATTTGCTTGTGAGTCACAACTGTCTTTAGTAGGTAAAGAATAATCGGTTGAATGGATAGGCGGAATAACGCATCTGATACTTGTAGCAATACCACTAAGACATCCCCATCAATACACGACAAACACGAAAATTCATCTGCTTCCGCTGTACAGGACAAATGTAGCCTGCAACTTATACAGAGCCAACTGAAAACATCCCTCAGTCAACAAAACTATCCCCATACTCCTTGCATTTGTTATTGAGAATAAAACTGTATTATATCAGCCGTTACCGCTTCACTGAAACATCATTTTATCCAGACTACTGCATAATCAAGACTACTGCATAATCAAGACTACTGCATTATTCAGACTATGAATTATCTGGACTACTCCACAATCTGGACTACTGCAATATCCAGACAAATACACTATCAAGACTACTGCAATATGTATACATAACACTGCATTATTCAGAAAACTGCATTATTCGGACTACTGGTTTATCCAGACTACTGGTTTATCGGGACTACTGCATTGTCCAGACTACTGGTTTGTCCAGACTACTGGTTTATCCAGACTACTGGTTTATCCAGGCTACTGCATTATCCAGACTACTGCATTATCCAGACAACTGCTTAATCCAGACTAGGACTTCATAAAAGATGTAAACATATTCTTCCCCACTGGTGCCATTCATCACAAACACATGCAAAGGCAAGTCAATTGTTCACCTGAAAACACCTGCGAACATATGGTACAGCCCCACACAGAAAGTTGTGTCAGACATCTGTTTTGTCACTAATGCATCAAATCTGGGAATGTCCATGTCTTCCAGAAAACTTTATCAAAGCTGAACTTCTGGAGTCGTAAATTTTGTCAAACAACATTTGAGTAAATTGTTTTATTACTCGCCCGTGGAAGATACTGCAGTGTAATATTTTTACAGCGATATTACACTAGTGTAATACCGCTAGACGTATGACATCATAATGGTTTGCAGTTATGACGTCACAATGCTAATACCTCTGTCACAATGGTATTAGACCTTGCTTGACTCGTGGAAGGCTGAAAGTCAATACACTTCGTAGGCAGTTTTTATCAGTTTATGTTGGAGAGTAATAAACAGAATACTAAACTCGCTTCCGTGAAATACCATTTTTATTAAACTCGTCAAAGATTTAGCATCAAACTCGCTTTCGCTCGTTTGATACCAAATCATTAACTCGTTTAATAAATATGGTATTACACGGAAGGTCCTTTAGTATCCTCTATATATTTATAGTCATGTGTGTTGAATGTTACCTGCAGTCATGAAACCACGGAACCCCCAAACTTACCCCTGACGGTCCCACACCACGATAAACCCATGAAGAGTCAAACCAAGACCCAACAGCATGTCGTATCCCACAAACAGGTGTTGTCATGCTTTCACATTTCTGTAGTATCACATGTGTGGGGCTATTTAGAAAGGAATCATTAAAGCGGTCATACGTACCTCCTTTGACGGCACACAAACTGGCGTCCCTTCCTTAATGAAACCATTCTCTATTGATACTCCCAACACAATGGGGTCCCGCGAGTTAAATATGAACTGAGGCAAAACACGCAGTTTACAAGGAAACACTGCTATATGTTTAAACTCCTCTTGTTTTTTCCTCTTCAGCTCCGCTCTGTATTCCATGAATCTATCAAACAGGTGATAGATGATGTCCGCCATGAATATCTTCACACCTAGATTGTCTGCCATATCTTGGGCTTCACGTTCAACTTTCACATCAAAGGCTAATATCACAGCATACCTGCAAACAAACAGAACAGTGAACACAACATAATGAGTGGTATCAATCCGAGTGGACAACAATGATCTCAGTTTAAATTGTACAATTGTCTTTTATGATTTATACACAGGGATTTACAGGACGCAAACTCCTGCGTCCTATACGCATAAAAATTGACAATGGACGCAACAAAATTTATTAGCGCATGCACAGGGACTCAGAAAAAGTCCAAATACTTTTTGTAAAAATTCCAATCAAGTGACAATAAGTTATCACTGAGTTTGCTACTTGCTGGGTTATGGTATTATTTGCGATTTAATAACTGTAACTATGTGATGATCATAATATACAATACAATAACAGTATTAATAATGATATTTAAGTGTCTTGGACCCCCATTCTGTTGTCCAGGACCCATGAAAATTAAGAGTATGAGTCCCAAGGACCCTCAAATACAGGACTCCATGTAATTCCCTGATCCAGGTTATGAAAATAATGCAATGATTCATTTCGTTTAGGTGGTGAGGTGAGTGGGTGTTGTGAGTGGGTCTGGTGAGTGGGTGAGGGGTGAGTGAGTGAGGTGAGTGAGTGAGTGAGGCGACTGGGTGAGGTGCGAGGTGGGTGTGGCAAGTGAGTGAGGCGACTGGGTGAGGTGAGTGGGTGTGGCAAGTGGGTGAGGCGAGTGGGTAAGGCTAGTGAGTGAGGCAAGTGGGTGAGGCAACTGGGTGAGGTGAATGAGTGGGTGAGGTAAGTGAGTGAGGCAAGTGGGTGAGGTGAGTGGGTGAGGTGACTGGGTTTTAGAGCAAGCGAGTTTTGTTTTAAGCCGCTATTAGCAATATTCCAGCAACATCACGGCAGGGACACCAGAAATGGGCTTCACAAATAGTACCAGGTTTTAGAGACTAAGGGAGTAATGTAGGTGAATAAGTGAATGACCGAGTGTGAGCAGGTGCAGCATTAGAAACTTTTATTTTATAGGACATGTCCAGAGGACGATGTAAACCCAATGACACTGTTCCTCGATATTTTGCAGATAGTACTGTGTCATAAAACTGTTTATTGTGTTTTTCTGTCTATCAGATTCAGCACAACTGAAGCATTGAGACCTGATTCAGACGTCTGAACCTCAAACACTGCTGGTGAATGACTACCATCAATTGATTCTTATTTGTCCCCAAGTTAAGTAGCCTCACGGAAGGAGACTAGCATGGACTTCAAGGTCCAAGGGTCTCAACAGTGGACAAAACTCACATGAGGTGAATAAAAGAGCAAATATGTCCGGCAAAATGAAACAGCCACTCTGTACCATCATCAAGACCCTATTCCTCCCTTTCCGCTTTGTACCGACAGAGTACTTGTACTATTTACGAGAAAATCTTCAAATACAGAAACACTTTTATTTCCGTACACAGCTCGGCGTTTATTTCCCTGACCTCAGCTACCCCAACATCAAAGTAGGGGCCACCTCTGTGTGTTTCTATATGGCAACGAATAAACCTGATCTCTTATTCAAGCTCCCGTGGGGGCGTTATCACCACAATCCTTTCCTGAGCTTACCTGTGGGGTTTCCCATCTACTCAACCCGATAATCATTGTTAAATATGCAATAATATGAAGCCCTACCCATAAAATTGCCTTAATTCCTATACTATCAATATTAAACCTTTTTCAAATATTATGGCAGCCCTTGCTGGGTGTAGGCCTTCACATGTCATTGGGTTCTTGTGGAATGGAAAATTATTATTCAAAATATGGCTACTAATATAATCATATCTTTACCAAATTTCCATACACATCATAACCACATCACCTGGTATATCGAAATGGGAGGCATAAAATTAGGGGGACGATTGAGGCATACAGCTGTAAAGTAACGACCAAAAGAATATATCATGCAAAAAATATTTCTGGGCGTAATGTTTCCTGCATGGTGGGTCATTGAAATATCATTATTTTTGTTAGTGGATAAAATAACACCAAAACAAATGTACCACATAAAGATATGAAGTATAAGAGACCAAAATGTTGTTTATCAGCCCAATTTTACATGATAAATATCAACTGATCGGTGTTTGCTCCAGTAAGAAACACAACCCAAACACCTCCACAAGCCTGATGCATGCACTCAGCCTGAGTGTTATGGCTGGTGAACATTTCCTTTCAAATATCTATTCAACATATGAGAACAGGAAACAGCATTTACGTCCCCCAGTTTGATTAGCTATTATCAATTGTTACGGGATCAAGTTACCCCACCGAAACCACAAGCCCATCTCTGAATCTCCGTCAATCATTCGGCCAAACACACAGTATCCGTGTCAGGGTTGACCTGGGCATAATATCACTATCAGGCCTTTGGGGAAGTTTTAGATGTCAAACTTGATGCATTAAGAGATAAAATATCAGGAGCTGAAAATTGTGCAAGTTTGCAGTTTTGAATTGAGAGCATACTTACAAATATGGAATAATGTTATACAGTGAAAAATAACTTTAATCTTATTCCAGCTTCAGTGTGATTACTTTGAATAATATTTGCAAGTTTACAGAGTATAACTGGGCCAGATATCCAGGCAAAATTCACTAAACTGTCACAGGTTCACTAACCTAAGCCTGTTTGTCAACTTGTACTTCCGATGAGACTGTTTATCTGTTGAGCAAGGTACCAGCTATTTGAAGCTGTTTACCTGCTGTGTAAGGTACCAGCTATTTGAAGCTGTTTATCTGCTGTGTAAGGTACCAGCTATTTGAAGCTGTTTACCTGCTGTATAATTTACCAGCTATTTGAAGCTGTTTACCTGCTGTGTAAGGTACCAGCTATTTGAAGCTGTTTACCTGCTGTATAATTTACCAGCTATTTGAAGCTGTTTACCTGCTGTATAATTTACCAACTGTTTGAAGCTGTTTACCTGCTGTATAATTTACCAGCTATTTGAAGCTGTTTACCTGCTGTATAATTTACCAACTGTTTGAAGCTGTTTATCTGTTGAGCAAGGTACCAGCTATTTGAAGCTGTTTACCTGCTGTATAATTTACCAACTATTTGAAGCTGTTTATCTGCTGTGTAAGGTACCAGCTATTTGAAGCTGTTTATCTGCTGTATAATTTACTAACTGTTTGAAGCTGTTTACCTGCTGTAAAATTTCCAACTATTTGAAGCTGTTTACCTGCTGTATAATTTACCAGCTATTTGAAGCTGTTTACCTGCTGTATAATTTACCAGCTATTTGAAGCTGTTTACTTGCTGTATAATTTACCAGCTATTTGAAGCTGTTTACCTGCTGTATAATTTACCACCTATTTGAAGCTGTTTATCTGCTGTATAATTTACTAACTGTTTGAAGCTGTTTATCTGTTGAGCAAGGTACCAGCTATTTGAAGCTGTTTACCTGCTGTAAAATTTCCAACTATTTGAAGCTGTTTACCTGCTGTATAATTTACCAACTATTTGAAGCTGTTTATATCTGCTGTGTAAGGTAACAACTATTTGAAGCTGTTTATCTGCTGTGTTAGGTAACAACTAAGTGAAGCTGTTTATCTGTTGAGTAAGGTACGAACTATTTGAAGCTGTTTATTTGATGTATAATTTACCAATTAAGTGAATCTGTTTACCTGTTAAGTAAGTTACCAACTGTTTGAAGCTGTTTACCTGCTGTGTAAGGTACCAACTATTTGAAGCTGTTTATCTGAGCACTGTGAAAGGTACCAACCTTTATGATAAAAATGTTATCTCATGTCACAGATTTGCACAAAGTTAGATTTGTTCAAATAATTGGCTTCTTTCACTCCTTTGGGCCATGCAAAATGTGCAAGAGAGAAAACAGTGGCTAGTCAGTGCCTAACTATTATAAATATATACACAAGATTTCCACCCCTTATCTATTACCCAACATGGGTATTTCTAGGGGTGAAACAGTACGCTCTTACCACGGTATGATACGTATTGCGGTACAAGGCTTTTGGTTCTGTTCGGTTCTGTTCGGTAATGAGAACTTACCTACGGGAAAATAGCGTCCATCTAGCTAAGAAATGCATAGATTTTGACAAAATGAATCAATTTCTAGACATTTTAGAATAGGTTTAAAAAGGTCAATAAAATAACGGTACGAAAATTGAAAATACTGAATTTTTGGATTGCATCACAGTATACTAAACCAAAGGGAAAATACCGCGGTATACAGTTTCATCCCCAGTTATATCCCCCCGACCTGTGCCTGGTCTGTGCTGGCTGCGAATACCGACTCCATAGCATGCTTCACATCATCACGAGCACATAATGTCAGACACAACAACATGGTATCATTCCGCACACGTCGGCCCGTTAACTCTCCACATGACAATTTCATACTGAATTTTAATTTCATTCAAATTTTATGCCCCATAAAGTACTACTTTATAGGTGAAAATAACTGAAAATGTATCTAAAGGTCCAGGACACACAAAGCTGTTTGAACATGAATAATACAGATATTCAAACATCCAAACTTAAATGAGCTGGGAGTGTTAGCCGCCAAGCAGCCACACTATTGGGCTGACAACAATATAGACAACTCATTGCAGCAGCTATTCACCAGTGTTAAATCAAGGATAAACCTGCCCAATAAAAACCATCTAATTACTGCTCGCTTGAGCTTACAGTCAAGACCCATTATCATAAACCAGAGGAGTCTGTTGAGCAGTTTCAGCTATAAGCAGTTTATAGTTCTCTTCTACCCAGCTCACAGATAACAGACACCTGGGTGATACAAGCCTGGTCCAGACACCTCTACCTAGCTCATCATGTGATAACACCCTGGTCCAGACACCTCTACCCAGCTCATCACGTGATAACACCCTGGTCCAGACACCTTTACCTAGCTCACAGACGACAGACACCTGGGTGATACAAGCCTGGTAGGGACACCTCTACCCAGCTCATCACGTGATAACACCCTGGTCCAGACACCTCTACCCAGCTCATCACGTGATAACACCCTGGTCCAGACACCTCTACCCAGCTCATCACGTGCTCATCACGCGGATAACACCCTGGTAACACCCTGGTCCAGACACTTTCACCCAGCTCATCACGTAACACCCTGGTCCAGATAACACCCTGGTCCAGACACCTCTACCCAGCTCATCACGTGATAACACCCTGGTCCAGACACCTCTACCCAGCTCATCACTGGATAACACCCTGGTCCAGACACCTCTACCCAGCTCATCATGTGATAACACCCTGGTCCAGACACCTCTACCCAGCTCATCACGTGATAACACCCTGGTCCAGATAACACCCTGGTCCAGACACCTCTACCCAGCTCATCACGTGATAACACCCTGGTCCAGACACCTCTACCCAGCTCATCACGTGATAACACCCTGGTCCAGACACCTCTACCCAGCTCATCACGTGATAACACCCTGGTCCAGACACCTCTTTCCAGCTCACCGACGACAGACACCTGGGTGTTAACACCCTGGTCCAGACACCTCTACCCAGCTCATCACGTGATAAAACCCTTGTCAAGACACCTCTACCCAGCTCATCATAGATGATTGACTGACTGAATTTGGTTTTACGCCGCTTTTAGCAATATTCCAGCAACATCACGGCAGGGGACACCAGATATGGTCATCATACTGGGTGATAACACCCTGAACTTGACATTTGTAGAGGTTGTGGTGAGTACAAGTTGAGTAAGTATATCACACAATTTTATATAATCCCAGTGTATGCTGAGACATTAAACCTGTCCAACTGTAACAGGTCAAGGTACAGGGGCTTTGCGTGATGATTTTTATCAGGTTTTACTGGGACTTAGTGAAGGGTATAAAATTATAACAATACCTGAGATCAGAGTGAGTAAGTGAGTGAGTGAGTGAGTGAGTGAGTTTTGGGTACAGTTGGATGGTGCATGGCAATACTCACTGACTGTCGTGCTCTAACATAATGGAAGCTTTCATGATATCCTTCTTGTGGACGGGACCAATGTTAATACCAGCATACTGCAAGAAAAGACACACTTATCAGTGACAGATTTAAAAATGTATGAAACACATCCATCCGCAGCTCAGAATCTTCTACCTCTCTATCTGTGCATGTCCACAAGAAGTAGAGTGAGTGTGGTTTTACGCCGCTTTTATCAATATTCCAGCAATATCATGTAGGAGGACACCAGGTCTTCGGCATGACGAGCGAACGCTTTAACCACAAGGCTACCCCACTGCCCCATGCCTGTTTGACAAGTTTAAGGTACTAATGACAGCGACAGAATACTCACAGGGATTTTGGAAGTTCTGAGGAATTCTAGCAGGGCTTCGAGCGAGCCGAGGGTGGAGGCCTGGACAAACACTCCTCTCTCGGACAGCTTGATGGACTCCAGCACAGCTTTGAGGGCTTTGGATACTTCACTCTGAAAGCATAACATGAACAACTCTAATCTGTCTTGTGAGAACAATAGGTCATTGTAGCATTGGTAGTGGGTGAGTGAGTGAGTGAGTCTAGTTTTACACCACACTCAGCAGTATTCCAGCTATATGGCAGCGATCTGTAAATAATCGAGTCTGGACCAGACAATCAAGTGATCAACAGCATGAACATCAGTCTATGCAATTGGGAACTGATGACATGTGTCAACCAAGTCAGCGAGCCTGACCACCCCATCCTGTTAGTTGCCTCTTACGACAAGCATGGGTTACTGAAGATCAATTCTAACCCAGATCTTCACGGGTGTTAAGTAATGAAAGTGGTGTCAATAGATCTGTGGCCTCATTGGACTGTGATACCGTGACATACATTGATAAATATCTGACATCATACAGATATACTCTCAGTAGGAAAAATTTCATTATGAGCTACAGAACTTTAGACAGGGATTCTGAAGCCATTTTCCTAGAATCAGTATTGTGCACCAAGGAAAGATCAAACAGTCCCTATTAAAATTCAAGTAGAATATATTCAGACATGTTTGTGAATTCCACAGAAGTTTCCATTTCATCTTGCCACAATTAATTTGTTAAAATGAAATCAAACTGAAAGTGGCAAGTGATAAGTAACAACATGACATGCCCCTCACTGTATGACGGATCATACACCAACAAACACACAACAGGAGTGGAAGTCAATCTTAATGATTATATAAGTTATATATATCTAGAAACAATTCTATGTTGTATGTGTCATTTTGACACGGACAGTAATAGAACCAACACTGTTTTGGCCTTGGAGAGAAAATGTAGCTTTCAAGTTTAAAATATTAAACAAGGTAAAAATACAAAATTCATAAGAGATGAAAGGACAGGTGATGTTTTATATCACAACGGGTAATCTACATGAAACATGAAAGTATAAGGTGTTCTTCAATATCTCTTGAGTGAGACAATCATTTCAGTGAAAAAATCCACTAGCACAGGCTTATATAATAATATTTGCTTTGTATCACCAAAATGTTAAATTAAATATTAAACAGTATGTTATCAAGAGCAGCCATATAATATAAGTTTATTTGTGCAAATTGGTGTGGTTTCGGTGCAAGTTGTACGTCGTTGCGTTGTACGTCGCTGCGTTGTTGCTGTATGCCTCTCCTCATCACCTGTACAACAGCGTCGTGGGTTACTCAACTAACAAGCCCCAGATGAAGCTGCCATTTACCTGTCACCGTGACAACAAAATTTGGCAAATGGTGGTAAGGTCAACAGCAAGCTTTCCGGATGACTGGCCAATCACAAACCTTGTTTCACACCGATTTGAAGCACATTCATGGTGATCAAGTGCTAGCATTTTTTAATATGACAGTTGACGTCTGCAACCTCCAGTTCGGGTGTCTCAACCGTGACCTTTCAATTCATGTTGGCCCTGATCTTGCCCTGACTGTGCCCTGCTAGAGGAGTTTCTGCCAAACACAATCCCCCAGTAATCCCCGAGAAGTGCTGGCCATGTAAAACTTCAACAAAACTCATATCTCATTACCCCATCTGTTCACTTTACCTTGAAAACGGCAATTATTTTTTTGACAAATTTGTCTCGAAATCGGTGAAACTTGGCTTAAAAAATAAATTGTTGATGTTCTCACAAAGAGCCCTCTAAATAACTGATTGGTGAAGGGTTATTTTTAAAATGCTTCTTAAAACAATTTTTTTAAATAATTCAATCCAGGTAAAATTGATTCCATTTAGTCATCCAGGTCAAACGAAGCAGAGAGAAAAACTGTATCTGTTTCCATGTTCTTCAGACACTGCAGATAATAATGACTGGAAGATGTTTCTGGAAGTTTTGTTTGTGTTGAGTATCTCTATTTTTTAGCTAAATCTGACAAAAATATGTTCAAATTTAATGTGTTGGCTCATAATGTTATGGCTGTCTGTCAGATGAACTAAGATTTCTGTTTATTATACATTTACAAGTAGTCAGTATTTGATGACATTAGCTGATAATCATGTACACATTAAACAATGTAGATTAAACAAATCTAAGTCTTACCGTTTGGAGACAAAACACTTCAAACTTTAATGTGAAAATGTGATTATTTTGTCTAATCCTGCACAACCTCCTGTGAAGCTGGTGATGTGAGAGACTTTTCACATACCGTATTGGTTGTATTTAGGGCCCTGCTCCAATAACCACTCTTCATTAACTTCTACCCAGTCTGTTAGTAATCTTTATAAGCACAGCCTTACAGGACCATCAAATAACAAGACATTCACTATTCAAGTGAATATTACAGACTATTGTACAGAAAACAATATCACAGAAGGTGAATAACTGGGCTTATAACTATTATCTAAAAACTTATCATTCACTTTCAAAGCAAAGTAAATGATAATTATCCAATTGTCCAGTTTTTAACAAACTGTGTACATAAACTGTCAGCAGGTGTGATTCACACGGAGAATGACTGTTTGACTACTGGTATATTGTATTTCTTTAAATAAAAAGAGAGGGTAAAATCGTGACAGTTTTCTTCATCACAATATATGCACGATAACAGGAAGTGACACGGGTGTGTTTTGCATATGCAGAAAGGAAGGCTGGAATGACAACCATCTCATAATTCATTCTGACCGAACTAGTGAGTGTTTCCTAGGACTGTCTGCTGGTCAAAGTCTTCTGACTCCAGACATAGCAGGTGTGTCAATACATGCAGCAGAATAAGGGGTCTGTATATTGAACCTCTTCTGTCATCAGTCAGACATGGTTCATGGCCCTGGCCCTGACAGTCCTGGTTTTACGTCAGGCCAAGGTCATAATGGCTACTTATGAATTGTATCTAGGTGACGAGTTGTGAATGGGGCTATACAAGTGAATTATTCTATATATGATATGTACGTGTGTGCTTCATATAGGAATCTATGAAAGGGAACCAGTTATAATCAGAGCTACAGATAACTTTTTGGGTCATTGAGTTATGTACTCCCTTGTGTTCATCTCAATTGGGTATCCTTATTTTCCTTTGAGTAACCAAATAAATTGTACTCACCTCAATCAAACTCATTTGGGTATTTTGCCATTTTCCATTAATTTTAAAAATATAATATAGCTTATATAATAGTGTTTGTGATTTACCTTTGATATCTAATATGAGAAACGATAAGAAAGACTGCAATATGTCAAGCTCATGTCCTAAAATAGAGCCTCTCAATATGTCAGCTATTTTATCCATCTACCGGTACGCAAGCTACGACTTAACATTTTTGTGTGTATGCATGTAAGATCACATTTATTGAGTATTTACAAAACTTCAAGCGTACTTGTACGCAAAAGACTTAATGGGAATTGGGTTTTCACATAAATGTTTGCGTAATTTACGCAGATACGCAGCTTATCTGACCTCTGTATAATACTCAAGAAGACTGTACATCACTAACTATACATTATTATTCAATGTGTATATTCATTCATCCATAGGTATTTACATACCTATGAATCTTTGCAAACGATTACATGAAATGTATCACCATAAAGCGCTCACACCACAAAAGAGTCTGTATTGCTATGTACTCTTGGCCTGATGGCCTCATATACGTATAAAGTCTGTCTGACTATCAAGAACCAGTGATAATCTGTCCATGTGAATGTTTGTCAATTGTTTCGGCCACACTTGGCAATATTCCAGATGCATGGCAGCTGCCTGTAAATCATCTGAAGCAAACAATCCAGTGATTGATATTGTGATGAACAATTCCCACTGTTTGGACACAATGACACGCAATCAACCAGACCTGATCGAACGACTCATAACAACACAATGATACAACCAGGAAAAGTTGAGGGGAGCCTATTCTCACCCGTAACTGGCTACTGTCACTGAATGGTCCCCTGGTTAAGGAGCAACTACAGCAGGTCCCGGGGGCGAGATAACCTTTCATTCAGGGTTCCTGTGGATCATTCAGTTATCACCTGTATATGTGATAAGTAATGTCCACATGGTTCACACGATCTGCTTCCACCCACCTTGTAATAGTCCTCCTCGTCCTTGTCGCGGGCCACGTACAAGGGAAGTCCGGCCAGCGCCTTCTCCAGATCTTTGGCAATGATCTTCACACCCTGGGCTGCCTTCACCTCTTTGTGATGCTCGTACTGGTTCTGTGGCGAGAAACGCACAATTACAACTTTTTCTTTGTTTGTTTGTTATTAAACGCCCACTCAGCAATATTCCAGCCACATAACATAAGTCTGTAATTAATTGAGTCTGGACCAGACAATCCTGTGATTGACATCATGAGCTTGGGATACAATCACATGTAGTCGTACAAGTCAACAACCCTGAACACCCAATCCTGTTAGTTGCCTCTTACGACAAGAATGGGTTGCTGAAGACCAATTCGTACATCTTCCACACACAAGGGACAGTTCATACATATTTTGTTTATTTGTACACATGGACCATAAAACTACTGCATATTTGGATGGAGCAAGTAAACATTAGCAAATACAATATGTTTTCCTAATACAAATATATATTCATGAATAATTTATGCGATAATGCTATTCTATAAACCAAAGAACCCAATAGATCTATTTCGCTCACAACACACAAGTTCCAAGTATAACTCTCTCTTAAAAATATTCATAAATATTCAATTCCAGTGACCATGAATAATGAAATAAATTCATGAAGGGATATGGTACGATTGACCAAATACACAAGAGAATGGTAACAGGACTAATTGTGATGTGATACTTGTATCCAACAGTCTATCAGTCTACAGGGAACCAGGAAATACTGAGTAATACAAGGAGAAAATGTCTAACATTAAACGTCTAATATTAACTTATACATTCCAGCAATATCATGGCGGGGGACACCAGACCCAGGTCTTTGGTGTGATGAGCGACCACTTTAACCTAGGCTTCCCCACCAGCCCCTAACTTATACAGGGAAATACATATTGTGAAAGTACTGTATAAATAACAGATAATACTTGGTAACTGTACTGAGAAGATGTTTGAAATATTAACGCCACTTAATGCCAAACAGCATAAATGATAACAAACTATCAACTGAACTATCTGATCAACTCCACTCATATGAAAATTTGATTTGGAGAACAACACACAATAAATCAATGGCTATATTTTGATGAAGCATAGAGAAAGAACATGTTTTTCATTTTATACCTTGCCAGCTAAAACCCTTCTACAAGAACCCTCATAAACCTCCTCCCACCTACACAACCGGGTCGTCTACACAACTGGGTCATACCTTTCAACAAGATAGTCATTAAAACAGTGTCCAATATCCATTACACTTCTTCAAAGGTCATCTGACATCAGATTCAGGTCACCCCCAAATTTGTTATTCATGCTAATTTCACAAGTAAAATATAGCAGCTTAAAGTAAAGAGCATACAGTTAGAGGAGACCAACTGCCTGTGTACCATCCAGTCACCTTTACAACTATTTAATAATAAGTCTGTCCTACACAGGTGCCTTTCAATTTGTCAAAAGTGGTCTCAGCAACAAAGGTTTGGTGTGACAGTAAGTCCGAGCAAGCAAGGATTTGTTAATTCCGGGAGTGGTGTTTGGTTTGATAATAGAACACCCCCATCATCTGGTGACCTGGAGGCTGTAGCACTTTGATCGAGCTCTCTTACGACATGGTGGCCACTGACTTGTTTATAGACATTGTTATTAAGTCAAATTGATTAAAAAAGGTTACGGTGTAGGGTTCTAATATCCTCTCATTTTCTACCAGTTACAATCGTTAAGTAGAGTGTAAACATTTGTACCATGATTTACTGAACTGCTTTCATTTTCTACCAGAAGTGCTATCATCAAGCAGAGTGTAGTGATCTTGCTGTGCAGGATGGTTAAACCCAGCTTCAACAACAGGTCTGTGACACAGCATACACTTACATCTCCAAACAGAGTTATCGCCACCAAATTACTGCAGTGATATGAAATATAGGGTGCTCTTTCCTCTCAGCAGTATTCTTTATGTAACACTGATCCAGAAATAATAAAAAAAATTATTTTTACGGCAAAAATCTGAAAACATTCTTTGCACAATTTTCTGGCTCCATGTCTCTATTTTTTAAACCTATCAGAAATTAATTTGGTCTGACCTTACAAAAATAAAATCGCTTTCAAATAGAAAAATATCTGGGCATTGATCTCAAGATCAAGTTATAGATGTTCTCACTGCAGAACACTAAAAGTTTTGGGTTTTTAAAACAAATGGCAACAATGACAATGCTACCCACAAGTCTAAGCAGATAACAACCTTTCTGTTAAGTAATTGGCACAAAATCTGCCACAACTGTCACATGACCAAGAATTTGAATTGGGATTGGTCAAGGTAAAGTGACCCAAGGTCAGTGTAATCAGATTGGATGTGACATTATTCAGGTTTGCAGTCATCAGTGTAGTCATTTATCCGGAGTTGCTGACACACCAAACAATGTGAGACTAAGCAAGCTTTGTGTTTTATCATCAAGGTAGCTGCCAACATGGCTTTGTATCCCCATCCCTGTTTAAGCTAACATTAGATAACATCTTGATGGACAGACCTTGCTTCTGCAGCAACTACTAGGATGACACATGTATGCAAATATAGTTTCAGCTGTCAACAAGCTCAACAATATTCTCACTGACAATACAAAGTCTATGACGATCACAGTTTGTCAACTGTACACTTGACAATTTAATATAATTATGTCTTGCTTTAACAGACTTTCTAGGTCACTAGCAGGAGACAAAATAATTATGTCTTGCTTTAACAGACTTTCTAGGTCACTAGCAGGAGACAAAATGCATATGGAAGAATTTTCTGTCAACGGTTCTGAAGCTCACCTGCAAAATGATTTCTGGAAATAACAGTTGAAGAGAAATGAATAAGAAATTTGTTACAAGGCATATTTCAATCAATCAAACTATTTCTGCTTGTTATTTGTGAAAACAAATGTGGGTCTGCAAATACTGCTTTCCCAATGTCATCTGGCAATGTCTCACCTTGACACGGAGTTCTTTCATAGGCTGTGGCATAAGTAGACCTCGTATCTGTGTTACAATTGGTCCATCAGTTCCTGCCAAGACAACAGTGGCTCCCTCGTGAATCTTGCCATCAACCAGAATGACATCGATTGTTGTGCCCAGACCTGGCAGCGCCTTCACCTGAAAACAAGAAACCAGTCATCATTGGCATGTCAAGTGAGTGAGTGAGTGAGTGAGTAGGTGGAGGTTTGAGTGAATGAACGACTGAGAGAGCAAGTGTGGTTTGATTCTGCTTTGAATATAAATTTCAGTAAAATGCAGCATGTTGGCATGGTGTGAGTGAAATACCCCATATGATACAGATCCTGGACTTTTGTGGACACTGTGGTAACCCTTATATACTAAGAATAATACAGGAAGATTGGGATCCAAAATTCCAAATTCATCACCTCAATATTCCACAATCTACTCAGGGAAGTGCATCACCCAGATAACTGGTCATTTGTGCCCCTCCATTTGATGTAATACTTTAGTCATTTGATGTAATACTTTAGTCATTTGATGTAATACTTTCGTCATTTGATGTAATACTTTCGTCATTTGATGGGTGTTTTCACAGTGGCCTTGTGATACATGCAAGGTCAGTCATATTGGGCTGACAGAGACTGATACAAGGCCAATATGAAGACACCCACATAATGACATTTTTATCAACTGACTACCTAAACTATATGTTTAAGAGAAAACAGTATCCACACTCTGAGAAGTGTGATGACAGCAGTCTATCGTGTTGTCGTGACGGCAATGAATGGAATGTGATCACCAAGCCATTGACCCTCCAGGATTCTTTCTCTTTTGCTGCTCATTGGTCACCTTTTGAGTGATGTTTTCACCAGAGTGAGTGAGTGGGTGAGTTTGGTTTGATGTTAAGTAACAGTAACTCAGGGTGTCATGGTGTCAGGGTGTCAGCTTGGTGTGAAGGGAAGTCCAAACTGCAGATCGCAGATGTTTTAGTGGTGAGACCCATAAACATGGGCATGGTGTATATAAACCAGGAACCACTGGAAATCTGGGATTCAAACTCATGATCATAGGTTTCTGGCACACCTAAGGGAGGCAACTCTATACAGTGACTTAATCGAGGCTAATGTTGCACTGATATTTAGAAGCTGAATCAGAAAGATATTAATACTTTACAATGACAAGAAGATACTTTTTATTCCTCTGAACTTGGAAACAAACAATATTGTGTCCCTCAGTAACGACGTGCAAATAAACAGGTGTTAACAAACTTTGTACAAAAACTGTGAAACTTGAGGTAAATCATCACTAGACAGGGCAGCTTACAGTCTCGTTATGCTGGCCATTGTTACATGTTATGATTAATGTGTGTATTCTTCCTCGTAAACTAAGCCAGAAATTGCACAGCTGTGTACACAATTTCTTCCAATCTACTGGAAATTTGGTTACAAATTACACAAAATGATTCATTCAAAGAATTTGATTCAATGATAAGAAGAATTGTATCTGAAACTAACATTATATCAGGAATAATATATCCCAGTATTGTGTTAATTTTACAGCAGCTTTTATTACAGGTATATAAAATACTAGCAAGCATGGCACTTTGATACAGAATATGCTATTGCTGAGTACTTGTTATGCATGGAACAATTTGCCCAGTAACTGTTTTTTCTGGCTGCTTCTTGCTCTGTCTTCAATCAATCCCGTAAATGTTGACATATAACAGTCAAAGTAGAACAATGCCAACTTTTGACAAGTCAAAGTATGACATTTGAGATAATGGGCCCCATTTCACAAAGCTATCTTAGCGCTACAACTGCTGTACCTCCTATACTGTAACATAGACTTAGGATAGTCATAGCGCTACGACAGCTTTGTGAAATGGGGCACTGGTATCCATTCTCTGTCTTGGTCAACTAAAGTAAATTTCAAAGGAACAACAGTGGCAATTTGACCATGGTTTCTGTCAATGACATATCAGCCAATCACTTAAAGTAAAATATGATCAAATTAGAATTACATTTTTCAAATATACATGCATGAAAACATTGAAAATAACTCCAGATTTACAATGAACATTTTTGCCCACAAATAGTGTAATAAGAGGATTGAATTCCATACTCCAGGACTTGTTGACATGCTGTTTCCGGTGCATGATCACACTAACGTCTGTGCATGGGGGAGATAGCATCAAATCTCATTGTGGCACACACTACGCACACTCCTCTCAACACACCTGTACCCTTTGGAAAATGAGTGTGCAAGATGCTCATGAAAATTCAGTTAGGTAATTTGACATTTGGAAGAATTGCGGCATGAATTTAGATAAATGGTCTTACACAACTGTATGTAACCATTGTCTAATCCAGCTGTATGTAACCATTGTCTAATCCCGCTGTAAGTTACCATTGTCTAATCCAGCTGTATGTAACCACTGTCTAATCCAGCTGTATGTAACCATTGTCTAATCAAGCTGTAAGTTACCATTGTCTAATCCAGCTGTATGTAACCATTGTCTAATCCAGCTGTATGTAACCACTGTCTAATCAAGCTGTATGTAACCATTGTCTAATCCAGCTGTATGTAACCATTGTCTAATCCAGCTGTATGTAACCATTGTCTAATCCAGCTGTATGTAACCACTGTCTAATCCAGCTGTATGTAACCATTGTCTAATCCAGCTGTATGTAACCATTGTCTAATCCAGCTGTATGTAACCACTGTCTAATCCAGCTGTATGTAACCACTCTCTAATCCAGCTGTATGTAACCATTGTCTAATCCAGCTGTATGTAACCATTGTCTAATCCAGCTGTATGTAACCACTGTCTAATCCAGCTGTATGTAACCATCATCATATGCAGGAGTAAACTTATTTCCAGTTTCCAGTTACCAGTTACATTATTTTATAACAATGTTTATCAATAAGACAAAACAAGATATACTTTTCGTCAAATAGCTGTGACTTATGTCAGGCCTTGATATGAGGTGAGGTGAGGTGAATTTGGATTTAACGTCGTTCTCGAGAATATTTCGCTCATATGACGACGTGCATGCGTGTGTACGTGTATGTGCGGTTGCTTGTACTTTCGACAACTGCTGCAGATTTGGGCTGAATAACAACTCAAAAAACATTGTTTAATATACATCTCTGATCCTTAATCAATGAAATCAGGCCACATTCTTTCATTTATGGTTATAGATATTTTCTTTGAGTAGATCAAAATGATATGACACCTCACATCCAGTAAACAAGTTTGTTTCATTTTGACACAGGTGTCATCTCAGTACATATCCTCACCACACCACCCCCCACCACCCCAAGTCACCCCACTTCTACCCTAACCAACAACAGTGCAAAGATCACGACCACCACACCTCAGGTGTTCATGAGGCAGAAAAGCAATCACTTCTCGGCAATTTAATTATAAAGTACAACTAAGTGTTTCAATGAAAATCAATTTGATAAGGGAAGTTGGTGACAGCCGAGTGACCTTACACATCCCAGTGAGACTGGAACAAATATTGCCTCTCTTTCAGCCACCCTGGCATCCATCTAATGTAATATTTAATGCCTTTTCAAGCTGCCCTCTTCAATAGACGTCATAACGCAAGGTGACAAAGTCATTGGAGAGGCATTACTGTACCTGGTTCCGCCAAACTCCAATTCTGCCAACTCATAAATTACAATCTGGGTGGATGTAGTGAGGGTGGACCCCAGGACAGAACATGTCGGCTGAATACTCCTCAGAGATCAGTGTCAACCCAATAACACACAAATAGCTCTAATCTCATAGCACCTATTTAGTACACCTGCAGTCTGCTCCGCCACAACAGAGGGGTGATGGGGTAAGGTTAGTGCTCTGACAGGGTGGAGTGGGGGAGGGGAGAGGTTTGGTGTTCTGATAGGGTGGGTGGGGGAGGGTTCTGTTCTGGTAGGGTGGGTAGGGATGAGGAGGGTTGTGTTCTGGTAGGTGGGTAGGGGATGCGGAGGGTTGTGTTCTGGTAGGTGGGTAAGGGATGAAGAGGGTTGTGTTCTGGTAGGTGGGAAGGGGTTGAGGAGGGTTGTGTTCTGGTAGGTGGGTAGGGGGATGAGGAGGGTTGTGTTCTGGTAGGTGGGTAGAGGATGAGGAGGGTTGTGTTCTGGTAGGTGGGTAGGGGATGAGGAGGGTTGTGTTCTGTCTGGTAGGTGGGTAGGGGATGAGGAGGGTTGTGTTCTGTCTGGTAGGTGGGTAGGGGATGAGGAGGGTTGTGTTCTGTCTGGTAGGTGGGTAGGGGATGAGGAGGGTTGTGTTCTGTCTGGTAGGTGGGTAGGGATGAGGAGGGTTGTGTTCTGGTAGGTGGGTAAGGGATAAACAGGGTTGTGTTCTGGTAGGTGGGAAGGTGTTAAGGAGGGTTGTGTTCTGGTAGGTGGGTAGGGGATGAGGAGGGTTGTGTTCTGTGTGGTAGGTGGGTAGGGGATGAGGAGGGTTGTGTTCTGGTAGGTGGGTAGGGGACGAGGATTGTGTTCTGTGTGGTAGGTGGGTAGGGGATGAGGAGGGTTGTGTTCTGGTAGGTGGGTAGAGGATGAGGAGGGTTGTGTTCTGTAGGTGGGTAGGGGATGAGGAGGGTTGTGTTCTGTCTGGTAGGTGGGTAGGGGGATGAGGAGGGTTGTGTTCTGTCTGGTAGGTGGGTAGGGATGAGGGATGAGGGTTGTGTTCTGTCTGGTCTGGCAGGTGGGTAGGGGATGAGGAGGGTTGTGTTCTGGTAGGTGGGTAAGGGATAAACAGGGTTGTGTTCTGGTAGGTGGGAAGGTGTTAAGGAGGGTCGTGTTCTGGTAGGTGGGTAGGGGATGAGGAGGGTTGTGTTCTAGTAGGTGGGTAGGGGGTGAGGACCCAGCTGAAAAGGCACCATGGTTGACCATGGTCAACCATGGCTTACCACGGAAAACCATGGTATTACCATGGTTTACCATGCTAAACCGTGGTCACTAACATTTCTCACCATGGTAGACCATGGTCACCATGGTATACCACAGCAGACCATGGTCATTATAGACCATGGTCACCAGAAACCATGGTAGACCATGGTCAACAACATTTCTCCCCATGGTATACCATGGTAGACCATGGTATACCACAGCAGACCATGGTCATTATAGACCATGGTCACCAGAAA